GCTGCTGCTGGCCGCCGGAGAGTTCGTGCGGGAAGGCGGTCTCGAAGCCGGCGAGCCCGACCTGGCCGAGCGCGCGCGCGACCGACGCCTGGCGTTCGCGCGGGCCGAGGCGCCGCAGCCCGAAGGCGACGTTGTCGCCGACGCTGAGGTGCGGAAAGAGCGCGTAGTCCTGAAACACCAGGCCGACGGAGCGACTTTCCGGCGGCACCGCCCGCCCCGGCTCGGCCACGACCTGCCCGTCCATGGCGATGCGCCCGCTCTGCAGCTCCTCCAGTCCGGCGGCGAGCCGCAGCGCCGTGGTCTTGCCGCAGCCGGAGGGACCGAGCAGACAGACCACCTCGCCCGGCGCCAGGGAGAGGGACAGGCGGTCGACCGCCAGCAGCTCGCCATAGCGGTGGGACACCTCGTCCAGCGCCAGGGCCGTGCCGGTACCCGCCTGCGCCCCGGACCCGCGCGTCGCGCTCGCCTCAGCCTTCGCGGCCGTCACGCTCATCCTCCGCCGCCTCTCCTTGCTGGTTCCCGGTTTCGGCCCCGGTTTTGGCCCCGGTTTCGGCACCAGTCTCGGCCTCGTCGCCGGCCGTGTCCTCGATTGGCGCGTCGCCGTAGGTGGCGGCCAGTGCCTCGTCGCTCGCCAGCTCCTCCGCCAGCTCCGCCTCTGCGTCCTCGGCCCCCTCGTCGTCCTTGGTCTCCGCGTCCTCGCCCGGGGCGGGCCCCGCCGGCGGCAGCTCGCCGCGCGCGCCCAAAGCGGTGATCGCCGGGCGGGCGTCGAGCAGGCCGGCGGCCTTCAGCTCCTCCAGCCCCGGCAGGGCGTCGATCGACTCCAGCCCGAACTGGTCGAGGAAGGCCTCGGTGGTGCCCCAGGTCACCGGCTTGCCGGGCGTGCGCCGGCGGCCGCGCGGCTTGACCCAGCCGGCCTCCAGCAGCGTGTCGAGCGTGCCCTTCGACAGGGCGACGCCGCGGATCTCCTCGATCTCGGCGCGGGTGACCGGCTGATGGTAGGCGATCACCGCCAGGGTCTCGACGGCCGCGCGCGAGAGCTTGCGGCGCGTCTCGCTCTCCAGCCGCATGCGCGGCGCCAGGTCGGCGGCGGTGCGGAAGGCCCACTTGTTTCCCACCCGCATGAGGTTGACGCCGCGCGCCTCGTAGAGGCCGGCCAGCTCCTCCAGCATGGCGCCGACCTCGGCCTCCGCCGGAAAGTGGCGCGCCAGCTCCGCCTCGCTCAGCGGTTCGCTGGTGGCGAAGAGCAGTGCCTCGAGCAGGCGGATCTGCTGGAAGCGGTCCTCGCTCATGGCTCCGGCGTGCCGCCCTCGTCGGCCGGACTCTCCGTCTCCGCCGGCATGTCGCTTTCGCCGCTGCCCGGGCGCAGGTAGATGCGCCCGTAGGTGCCGTCCTGGCGGATCTCGACCTGGCCGTACTTGGCGAGCTGCAGGCTGGCGACGAAGGTGCTGGCGATCGCCGAGCGCCGCCGCAGCGGGTTGGTGCCGCCGCGCAGCTCCGGCGGCAGAAAGCTCTCCAGGGTGCGCCAGCCCGGCACGCCGTGGCCGAGCAGCCGCGCCAGCCGGTCCACCGCGTCCTCCACGGAGTAGAGGTCGAGCGCCAGGATGCGCAGGGACTGCTCGCCGCGGTCGCGCCGGGCGCGGCCGTAGGCGCTCAGCAGATCGAACAGGCTGAGATCCCAGACCACGGTGTTCACCCGCTGCAACGGCTCCGGCATGCCGCGCGCGAAGATCTCGCGGCCGAGCTGCGGCCGGGTCGTCAGCTTGCGCCCGGCCTCCTGCATGGCTTCCAGGCGCTGCAGCTTGAACTTCAGCGCCGCCGCCATCTCGGCGCCCGAGGGCTCGCCCTCGCCCTCCGGCTCGGGCAGCAGCAGGCGGGACTTCAGGTAGGCCAGCCAGGCCGCCATCACCAGGTAGTCGGCGGCCAGCTCCAGGCGCAGCCGTCGCGCCTGATTGACGAACTCCAGGTACTGCTCGGCCAGCGCCAGGATCGAGATCTTGGTGATGTCGACCTTCTGGTCGCGGGCGAGCTGCAGCAGCAGGTCGATCGGCCCCTCGAAGCCCTCCAGGTCGAGCACCAGCCGCTCGCCCGGCGGAAGCGGGTCGGGGACGTCCTCCTCGAAGAGGTCGCTCGGCCTGTCCTCGGCGCTCACGATGCTGCGGCTCTCCGGCTGCGGGGGGCCCCGAGGGCCCGTCTGTCAGGCTTAGACCAAGCCCGCCGGCTTGCCAACCGCATGGACGCGCCTCACCCGGCCAGCACGGTCGAGAGCAGCCCCTCCAGCGCCTCGGCCGCCTCGAGGGGATCGACCAGGCTGGGGGCTTGGCGCTGGGCCTCGGCGGCGGCCAGGCGCCGGCGGGCCTCGGCGGTCAGCGGAGGGGCCGCAGAGGCGACCTGGAGCATCTCGTCGCGCCTGCCGTTGCAGTGCAGCGCCAGGTCGCAGCCGGCGGCGAGGGCCGCCGCGGTGCGGCTGGCGAGGCCACCGCTGAGCGCCTGCATCGAGAGGTCGTCGCTGACCAGCACCCCGTCGAAGCCGATCTCGCCGCGGATCACCTCGGCGATCACGCGCGCGGAGACGGTGGCCGGCGCGTCCGGGTCCAGCGCCGTGTAGACCACATGCGCGGTCATTGCCCAGGGCGCGTCGGCCAGGGCCCGGAAGGGCGCGAAGTCGCTGCCGCTCAGCTCGGCATGGGGCGTGTCCACCTTCGGCAGCTCCAGGTGGCTGTCGGCGCGCGCGCGCCCGTGGCCGGGGATGTGCTTGACCACCGGCACCACGCCGCCGCCGAGCAGGCCCTCGCAGGACGCCCGGCCGAGGCGCGCCACCCGGCCCGGGTCGCCGGCGAAGGCGCGGTCCCCGATGACGCCGTGTGCGCCCTTGATAAAGAGGTCGAGCACCGGCGCGCAATCCACTGTAATGCCTAGAGACAGCAGCTCCTGCGCCAGCAGGCTCGCGTTCAGTCGGGTAGCCTCCAGCGCGGCCTCGGGATCGCGCTCGGCCAGGCGGCCGAAGACCCGCGCGGCCGGCGCCTGACGCCAGTGCGGCGGCTTCAGCCGCTGCACGCGCCCGCCCTCCTGGTCGATCAGCACCGGGGCGTCGGCCCGGTCGACCAGGGTGCGGAAGTCCTCGGTCAGGGCGCGGACCTGGTCGGGGCTCTCCACGTTGCGCGCGAAGAGGATCAGGCCGAGCGGGTTCTGCTCGGCGAAGAAGCCGCGCTCCCAGTCGTCGAAAACCGGGCCGGCGCAGCCGTAGACCGCGGCGGAGACCGGTCGCGCGGCGCTCGGCGCGGACAGGGATGAGGTTTCGGACATCGGCTCAGTGCTGCTTGGGCAGGCAGTCGGTCCCCTGGGCCTGCAACAGGCCGCAGAGATCCTCCGCCGTCGCCCGATTGGGCAGCGGCCCGGCCTGCAGGCGATAGAAGGTGCCCTTGCCGGTCACCTCGACGGTCTGCACCGCCAGGCTGAGGCCGCCGAGCAGGTCGGCGTGCTTGTTCTGCAGGCGCCCCCACTCGGCCTCGACGGCGGCGCGGTCGCGCAGCGCCGCCATCTGCAGCACCCAGTCGCCCGGCCGCACCGGGGTGGCCGCCGCCGGCGTGGACGGTTCGGGCGCGGAAGGCTGTGCGGCGGTCGTCTCGGGCGCCGGCTCCGGGGCGGCGTCCGGGGCCGGTTCGGCCTGCGGC